TGTTTGCACTAAGCACAAGTTGCTGTGTTGCCTGCGGATGGCTTTCAAACAACCCAAACATCTTAGAACAAGTCAGGGAATGCAGAGTGGTTTAGAAACCACCATGCATTTAGTAACATGCAACTAGCATACACAGGGTGGGGAATAGAAGCCACTGTGACTTCTTTTCCTTTCCCAGTTGTCCAAATCCAGTCTTGTGTAACCTGAAATGACCACACAGAAACCTGTATGAATAATGTTGCATTGACACAGACATAATCTGCAGACAGGTAATTCACTGTTATATTTGAAACTCTGGGTAGAAACTATGTATTTGACTACGTTCTTTCTTCTCTTCTGCTTATGGAGATTCATTATTTATGATGGATATGCAAAAGTAGAATTGACATTCCAAAGAATCTAGGTCAACTGGTTCCTTGACTGCACCTTAAAAACATATATCATTAGCTTTTATAACCAAGGTGTCTGTTAAGGAGCTAGCATACAAAGAACTGAATGGAATATATCTTCTAGGTCCAGAAAGCATTGTGCTTAAATGCAATTTTAAATATCTGGGGAAGTCTTGCTAAGCCACAATCATCACTACAGATGAAGGCACCGAGCTGCAGAAGGCTCAAGAGAGAGTTATGCATGGTATCTGAAGTATCTCTTCCTCCTGCCCAGAACAGTTAGGGGAAAAATCACATATTAGTCTGCAAGATGTGTCTGTTTCATTATTTTATTGTTCAGTTGACCTAACTATAGCTTGAATAAGAAAGGTAATACTTAGCTGCATCCAGACAGGAAACAAATATAGCAATGGCTCTTCCTCTCTGACCATAGGGCTTTTTGAAAAGTTGCAAACGGAGGTCAAGCAAGTGCAATAAAGCATAAGGGCAAGCTAAACAAGCAGTTGTAATATCAAATATGACAGGATCCATTTACTAATATAGGGTGCTACTCTACAGTAGGCAGCATGGCTCTTTAACAACCTCCCCCTCCAAACACTGCTACATCTATTACCATGGTCTCAGTCTCCTAGCCTGGTTTCTCTTAGCACTGTGTATATGACCACAGGCACAGTATTGAAAGCAAACTCGCAAATGAGTCGGGCCCAACATTGCAAATGATAGCTCCAGAACAAGTAGTGGGTTAAAGAATGGTCTCATCTACTTTTCATTAATACTGCTATGGAGTATGATGACATGGCACACTAGCTATCTGAATATTCAAAATCTTTTATGGCCTTCTCTTTAAAGCTACATTGGGAAAACAAACAGACCAGGAAATCTAATAAAATGCAATTGGTAACGATTCTACGTAACATGTTCAATGGAATTAATAATGTTCTAGCACATTATGAATCTTGAGCATAAATTCTCACTTTAGAATACAAATAGATAAGTTACCATAATAGCCTTCTTTCATCAATACTTTCTTTAAGCACTGATGGATACTGATGCGATAGCTTGACACATTAACTGCTATGGTTGCTTATCACCTAACCAGCAAATATCTAGTTAATCTTGTTTCATTGCTGCTGTTATTGCTGTCGTAAATATTTTTCCACTGTATTATCTTGCTCTTCTTCTTTCATCTTGTACTAGTAACTGTATTAGACGAACTTGTTTATGATTTACTGCTTTTTATGATTAAGAAAAAATTGTTATATTCTTTCATTTTTTGGTAAAAAATGTAACAAGTTCTCTTAGTCTTTCTCCACTGACCTTTCACTCCATCTTCTTATCAAGAAAACAAGTATGACTCCTTTGCACTACAAATATTGCAGTAGATACAGGCTTCAAAATAACTTGACTTTATTCTATCCATGACAGCCATAGCAAAGATACTTTTGGACTACTTAAAAACAAACCAGCACTATAGTTATAGAAGGCACAAAAAAGACAAGTTAAGAGCAGTCAGCTAACTGACACCAAGTTTCATCAAGCTTCTCTGCTGGGCCCTCATAGCTTAGATCAGAATCCACTGGCAGATATCGAGTAAGTTAGGGACTATTTGTCCCAGGGTAGAGAACCAATATGTGGAGAATTTTAGCATGCATTGAGATTCTGTTTTCTCCCTTTCCCTCTTTATAGTTTTCTAGGTACATTTTATTTGTGATCCATTTATTTTTGAGACACCAAATTATTCAAGATGTTTAAAATAAAAAGGCATTGTGAGGCACTCCAAAAGGATTTCTCCAAACTGGGATAAATGGGCACCAAAATGGCAAATGCAGCTCAATATAAACTTGATGAAAATATTGACCCAGTCTCCTGTGAAAAAGGTAAACTCCATGTTAGAAATAATTAGGAAAAGAAGAGAAAATAAAATTGGCAATATAATACTGTCCCCATAGAATTTTATGATGCAACCTCCAAGAGAATACTGTTCTGATCATCAGAGAAGTATACAGAGGTATACAGAATCACACATAGTATGGAGAAAGTAGATAAGGAGACTTTTTTCTTGCATTCTCATAATACCAGAACCTGGGGTAATCTCATGAAGCTGATTGGTGAGAGATTCAAATATAAAAGGGAATATCCCTTCACACGCTGCATAAACTACAGAATTCACTTCCATAAGATGTAGTTACGTTCACCAATATGGACAGCTTTCAAGGGGAATTGGAAAAATTAATGGAAGAGGCTATCAACAGCTCCCAATGGTTATGTGCTATCTCCAGATCAGAGGTAGTATGCCTATATACATCAGCTGCTCAGAATTTGGGGGAAAGGGTGCTGTTGCACTCATGTCCTGCTTATGGGACCCTGTGAACAGCTGTTTGAACAGAATGCTGTACTAGAGGCAGCTTTGGTCTGATTCAGCATGGATCTTCTTCTATTCCTAAGTGTTATTGTAATTGCACTGATATCCTGTTATATACAACAATATAACAGGGCGCACTCTCAGGGTGCACTCTCTTGGTTTCCTGCTGACAGTTGAGGTGGACCAGCCTAAGAGCAAAGCCTGAGAATAGTATTTTGGCCTAGCTGGATGAGAGATAAAATGAGAAGATCCACGGCAATCCCTTAGAAAGCTACTGAGTGAACAGGTAGAAATCAGTGCTTTCACTTCTTAAAGTGTCAATAGAGGTGGGAGGAACAAACTAAGTCCACCTTGGAGCTCTTAAATCAGTTTTGCGTGTACGTAAAAATACGCTGAGTTTACCTCTGAAGCAAGGCGAAGCATTATCAAGCACCACCATCCTATCAAACTATGAGCATTCGAGCCACAGCTGTGACAGTATGAGTGTGTAATTTTGGGACTTATCCTGCATACCTGTATATTGGGACTCATACAAGAACAGTTTGGTGGATCTTGAGTGTTCTTTATTTTATTTCAGTTTTATACTGTTGAATAGTTGAAACTCTCTGGCTTGCTTCTACAGTGGAGCTCCAAATTCAAAAAGTCCAAACACATAATACATTCAAAAAACATGAACTGCCCAGCAAACCAGGCAGAATTTGAGCAACGTTTGCAATGTCAGGCCTAAGGTAGTAGCAGTGATGGGAAGTCAAGCCTGCAGAAGATTCGCCTAGAAATTGCATTTTTTCTTATCTCAGCTTTCCTTTTGAGCCAATGCACACAGTTGACCCACAAAGAACATGGGGCTAAAGGAGGCAATTTCCACGTAGTATATACGTCCCCAAGAGGGGCGCTTTTCAGAAAAACAGTTGAATGTAAACACTTTAGGACTGGGCTGTCAGTTCTCACCGACACTGCTGAGAAATGATATTGATTAAAATGTTAAGTACCGTGTTGGTATCTTGACGACAGCCTTGCACAGTTCCCTTATGTCCCTCACTGACTCACACACAACAGGAAAGCTACTCGGGTGTAAGTGCTTTGGCAAAACGAGGAAATGACTAAACATGAAGCAGCGCGAGTCGTCATCGCGGCGCTGACGGGAGGGCGACATGACAGGCAGCAGAACAATAAATCCGCTTTCTCCCTACATCGCATCAACAAGTGCGTGTGGCAGAAATCAGCCTCCATTCTCAGCCCGTAAATACCGGCCCTGTGGGTGGCTGGAGAGAAACGGCGCAAGACTGCGTCTGCTTTGCTGGGGCACTTCCTTCGCGTCCCTCAGCCCAGCTCCTCCCCTGGCGAGTGCCCGTCGCTCGGGCACGTTTAAGTCTCGCTCCTTCATGCTGTCAGAGCCGCTGCAGCCGACGCTCGCCACATGAACTGTCGCAGCCGCTGCTCCTTTTGCCGCGGGGCTTTTTGCGGTCTCTCGACCGCGAATATGTTACGCCTGGAAACTGACCAACCGCTGCTTCAGCCACCGGCGGCAACGGGGTGTTCCAACTGTCCCCCGCCCGCTTCCAGTCGCATCTCGCTAGCCATTCTCAGCCTGAATGAAGAGCGCTCTGCTCGCTTGCGCACCGGACGCCCCCGTGCCATTGCCCCCGCCTGGCTGGGGAGGGTCAGAGCATGACGAGGGGGCGGGGCCCGGCAAGTGTGGGGGAGGGACAGAGCACGGCACCCACTGTCCCCCTCCTCCTCTCTAGGGAGACGCTCGTGGCAAAGTCAACGACCCGGAGCCCGCCGGGCCTCATCAAACGCCTCGGCCCGACCCACATACGTCATGGAAACAAGCACGTCAGGCAATGTTGACCAATAAGAGGCGGCTGGGACAGCAGTATACACCGCCCCTTCGGGCACCAGTCCCAATCTCCGCCCCTTCTCTTACCCGCCCCCTCCCCACACCCATGAAGGCGCCGCGCCTAGGGACCCCCTCCGCTTCCTCTAACCCGAGCAAGACCCCATCACGTGACGGGGACCGGGCCGGTTCGGAACCCGGAGTCTCCTGCTGCGCTGAGAAAGGGCTCGTGGGCGAGAATCGAAGAAGCGGGCGAGCGTGTGAGTGATGGAAGGAAGCGTAGTGCCGCCGCCGCCACCGCGCCTCTTGTAGCTGGAGGCGACGAAGGGACCGGCTCCTTCCGCGGTGTGTTCGTCTGGGGAGGGACCTGAAAGCAGCTTGCACGCCTGCCTGCCTGCCGTCGCCGACTAACCAGGGCTGGGGAGCTACTGCTGAGGGCGGGGCAGGGCACCTAGCTCTCCCTCCTCTTCCCTTGCTGCTGCCGCCTCCGCCACCTCCTCCTCCTCCTCCTCCTCCTCCCCTCCCCTCGGAGATCGCAGGCGGGCTTGGCGGCGGCTTGGGCTCGCGCGCTCTGGGGTGGGGTGGGGGGACCCTGTGCGGCTAGCAAGGAAGCAGTGGTGCTGGCGGCGGCGGCGCTCGCCGTGTGGGGCTTGGCGGCGTTGGAAGCTGAGGTAAGAGGAGAGACAGGGAGCAGAGCGCGGCTGAAGCGGGCATGGGGAGAGGGGGAGAACGGGGACGCGGAGGGCGTAGGACTGGGCACCTCGTCGCGAAGGCGCAGGTGGCAGGACTCCGCTGAGCCACGCAGGCCAGGCGGGCCGGGGGACTGGCGAACCGAGGGAGGCGGAGGTGGGCGCTGAGACCTGGGCCTGCTTGTGTCCCCTCTCCTCTCTCGGTGGGCCGGGAGAGCCCGCGCCCAGCGCTTCGAACGACGCGTGCTGTGACCTTGAGGGCAGCCGCGGAGCGACGCTGGCGGCCCCGAATCTTCCCGCTACCTGGGCAGAGAGAGGGGGCGCGCGGCCGGTGGCTCCCCAGTGCCCGGGTGCGCCTTTCCCTCTTGGCCGCCAACGCGCTCTTCCTTTTACAATGGGCCGGCGGACACCCGTTAGGTGAAGGTGCTTCTTGCTCTCGGCTCGCACTGCCGGGTTAAGTAGCCGGGATTAGACTGCCGCCACTGCACGGCATTATCCTCATCCCCCGCAGCCTCAGCCTTTATTACCCGCGCTGCAGGGTGCCAGCAGGTCAGCCTCACCCCGCTGGGGGTGGAGGCGGTAGCTCTGAACTTTAAGCTGGACAATGAAGATTCTTCATCCTGTACTACTTCTTGCATGGCTCTCTCCTCCCGTAGGGGATAGTAGCTGTGAATAAAACGGATGGGTCATACTCTTCTTCTACTGCAAAGCTGTCTTCTCTGATAAAGCTGTTTCGGAAGCGACTCTAAATGCAGCATGGGCCAATGAGGCTGATCCAAATAATCATTGTATGGTGTAAGACTTGTCATTTGCATGTCTCTGTTCATCTCTGCCCAGCAGTGGTATATCCAACCTTTGGATGTTGCAGCACTGAGTTCATGGAGAAGCCTTCACCCCAGGGGAGGAGTGGTAAGGGGTGGGATGGAGGGGGAAGATTGCTGCCTGCAATTCATGTAAGGAAGTACTATGCCACACACAGAAGGCACTTACATAGAAGACTGGTGACTGGAGAATATCTTCCTATAACCATCTCCCAGGCAGTTGGCACATTTAATCCTTGGATGTAAAAAGTTGGAGATAGCTGAAGGAGAAACTTCTGACCTATTGGAAAGCCATGTGCATGGAAACTATCTGATAAAGTTGACCTTGATATCTGTCGCTAATATAAATTGTAACCACTCCTAAGATAGAAAAGATCCAGGCTCTTAAAAAAAGGTAGGCGGCACCTAGTTGAAGTACCTTTCTTTTTTGACCTATGTATTTGATCAAGCTCAGTAGTAGACCTAGCTCCTGTGTAACTCTCTTCTTTCATCTCGCTTTACTTGTTTGAATGATAGTTGAGCTCCTTTTGCATACTTAGAAAATGTAAGTATGCCTAAGACAGCAAGATAGTGGCTCATTTTCAGAGTAGTACATCTTGTGTTTTTCACTATGAAATGTCTACGCTTGGGCATCTGTTAGAACTGGTATAGTGTAGTGGTGGAGAGCAGGATACAGGAAGACCCTGGTTGAAATGTTCCCTTTCCTGTAAACTCACATGTTGGCATTAGGCATACTTCAGTTATCTCACCTTGTTTCCCTCCTCTTCCAGACTGATGAATGAGAATGATATTACTGCTAAGTAATGTAAATAATGTAAAATATTATTGTCCCATAGACTTGAAGGCTATGCATATTTTCTGGGTTGGAGTTCTCTGTGAAACTATTGAATATTAAGCATACAGAACCAAATACAGATCCTTGGCGCTTAGATCTAAACCAGGTGTTGCAGTGGATAGAATGTAGGTCATCAGCATAGATATGTAGAACTTACATTCTTACAAGGAGTGTACAAACTTGGGAAATACACATTTAATATTTGCAGCAGATATAGTGATTAGTGTCTTGACATATAAAAGTGAGCAAGTGATCTCAACATGTTTGGAAACTAGTTTCTAACATACGATGTATTTTTCAGACAGTAAAGCAGGTTCATGCACAAAATAACAACAGCAACCCTTTGTGTGCATAAAAAAGCACTTCCCAGTACTTTGGGGGTGTTAAATATTTGGAATGTATAGGTACATCTTTATAATTGTGCAGCTTAAAGCGCTTTGTTTATCAGATTAATGATGACTGTAGCACTACAATAATAATTTGGCATAGCAAATAGCTTGTCTGCAAATAAAAAAAAATGAAATAAAAGGTGAAATACATAGCTTCTTAATTAGGAATTGATGTATTTGTGAAACATTGTTTTGGGCAGGTTGATCCATTGGTATTAAATGCATTGCTTAGATGGCTTGTGAATGTGGAGTAGGCTTGAAGCATGATTGTGTGCTAATGGTTTTAATGCTGTGAGTGCTGTTTCACTTTATTGAGTAGTAATATCCCTTCTAAAATTAAAATGCTGTTTCTTTTAAGAGCATGGATAACTGAGTGTTGTGTCTATGAAATGGATGGATGGGATTTCTCATCCGGGGTAAGGGTAACTTAAATGTTTCCCACATGAAATGTTATAACTCTTTCTGATGAATTCATTATCTTGTTTTCAAATGTCATAGCTTAACTATCTGACTGAGCAATCAGTATGAAGTGTCTCATAGGCAATTTTTCCCTTCAGCTCACATACATGTGTAGGAACATAGAATGCTGCCTTATACTGAGTCAGACTATTGTCCATGTACTCAGCACTGGCAACTGTGAATACTGACAGCAATAGCCCTACCTGGAGGTGCTGTGGAATTAAACTGGGAATTTCTACATACAAGACATGTCATCTACCACTGAGCTATGGGTCCTCCCGCACACGCTAACTAGCATCTATGTTTCTGGTCTTTATAATGGTTTTTTTTTCCTGGTTAGTATTGCTCCTTGTCTTGCAGGGGCATGTAAAAATAATAGCAAATATTAGTACTAAGAAGTACATATGTTTTCCAGATTGTCTGCCATTGGTATTGCTACCCTTTGGCTGGATTTTAGTAAGAATAAAGAAGTTTTGCATTGCTACTTCATCTGCTAGACGCCACTGTCCACAAGTGGAAACATATCTCAACAGAGTTTTCCCACATTGGCAATCCACAACATGTAACATTTCAAATAAAGGCTGAGTTAGCAAGTCAGTCATTGGTGCAGTTTGTTGCATAAATATAGATTAACCTAAATGATCCATTTCTAAAATTGTTCTAGCGATGTGATTTGTAAATCTTATATTTGAGCTTTATGGCTCACTTTGAAATGCTCACTGACATGGGATTAAAACCAGCTATGAATCAGAATTCTAGTATTCTAGAATAAGGCATTTTTTGAAGTTATTTATTCAAAAGATGGTTTTTGTCTGCAGTATGCACTTCCTTTTGAAACGTTTTACTCATACCATAATTGGTTGGGGCATGAAAGGAAGGGGAGGATGACACTTGCACATGACACTCATGTGGAGGTGGTACTGAGCAGTACATTAAAGACTGGTGTCCGCCCTAAAAAGAAGGCTAGTATGAAAAGAAGTGTTCTCTTTACTTTACAACTGAAAGTTGTCTTGTAACATTTTGAAAACCGGTGAAACTGATCCTATTCCTCATGAAGAATTATGCAGTTTTTATTATCTGGTGCAAAAGTTGGCAGACTATTTCAAACCACCCCAGTATTTGGTTTGTAATGAAGATAAGTGGTAGTGTAATTTCTTGGTCACTTGCTAACAATTAGAATCCTTCATTCTTGTGATAACTATATCGGAAGGGGCCTTTTTATACTGAATTAAATCATTGGTCCATCTGGCCTAGTACTGTCGACACTAACTAGCCGTGGCTCTCTAGGGTTTCAGGCAGGAACTTTTCCATCCCTACCTGAAAATGTTAGCAATTGAATGAGTGAACTTTGTCCCTCATCCTTTTGCATGACTAAACAATTAAATTTAAACATGTTGCAGGTTGTGGTCAATGATCTCCTGCCTCTGTGTGTATCCTAGCTTGGAGTCAAGAGCACAGATGGAATAGGGCTTCCCTGTCATCTTTCTCTCATGTATTCCCATTTGTCCCACCTCCCACAAACCTGCTCTGGAAGGACTTCAAACCATCCAGACAGCTTTCAGCAGCTTGCTGATTTGGGAATAGAGACAAGAAATCTCTCTTCCACTATCACAGCGATGCTATTGGACACAACCCTTTGCATACTGAACAACATTGTTTCATCATGTTTTAGCCATCAGCTTAATTTAAAAAATACAATTGATGGTTGAAAGTTCTTGATACTGATATACTTGGATTTCACTTAGTATTCTTCGCAGAAGTAAAAGCATGATAGTAAATTAATAAATTACTGCCTATTCTAAAAGGAGAAAGTGGTATCTTGCTCATCAGCAAGGTCCATTCAAGCTGTGTGTTGTATGGAGAAGAGTTGATAGCTCTTAAATTCTGTGTAATTTCCATTTGGTAGAGCTATTAGATATCTGGTACCTACTCGCATCCTCTTAACATTAAATTCAAATGTTGCATCCTAGGAACAGCAAACCATTTTTTTTTATTCTGGTAAACTTCTGGAAGCTGGATCTAAAAAGGACCAAGGTAATAGCTGTTGACAGGTCTGTAGCCTAGAAAAATTGGGTTGCTCATCAGAAAAGGGATCTCTGCATCAAGTAGGAAGCCAGCTTTGGAGATGCTGTTAGGCTATGAAGTTGTGGCAGTAGTTATGACAGCTGTTTGTCAATTCTGTTTAGTCTTATCAGAGCTCAAAGCTAGTGTTGATGCCTTTGTAACCTTAACATGTCACCTCTGTAATGCATTGTATATGGGACTGTCTCAAAAGTTCAGAGGCACACAGAGCGTTCTTGGTAACTAAAGATTTACATTTCAGTTCATCTGGAAATTCTTGGGACTCCTGGCCTGGGAGTAATGCAAAGCTTTGCTCATTAGAATATATTTGGAACCTAATTATGTTGATGGTTGACCTGATATGAAATATAATTGCAGATAACATATTGGATTTGAAAAAGAAATCTGATGTCCTTG